GGGCTAAAAAAGACCATTAACAGCCATTTGCAGCTCAACTGTGTAAATAAATCTTAAAGAAAATAACAATCACAGCTAACCATGAGATAACATTACGCTCTAAAACTTTACGGACAGGTAATCTTAAAAACACCCTAAGCTAAATGAAGAGACGGTTCTTTGCAGCAGTATAAATTTTTAAAATAAGCTATGAAAAAAATAGATTTACCTAAAACTCCCTACATTTCAAAACTCGCTCTGGCAGCTATTGTATTCTTTACAGTATGCGGCTTTATAAATCCTGCACTCGCGCAAACTACTTTGTACACTACAGATTTTGGAACCGTTGCAAACGTGAATCCGTCGAACTGGATATTTACGGGAATAGGTATGAACATTAGCACTAATAACCCTGGTTCGGGTTACACAGGCGCTTCAATGGGAGCTTATTTAGGAGAGGGTAATTCAGTGACTTTTACAAATACCGCAGGAAATTCGCAGACAAACTCTCCTATCGGTGTTTCAGAAGCAATTTTGCAATTGAGTTCTACCAATTATTCTAACGTTACGCTTTCATGGGGTATGAGAAGATCATCTGCCAGCTACAGCGCAAATGCAACCTATACAGTTGCGTGGAGTACCGATAATATTACATATAACGACATCACATTTACTGAGCCAACTGCTTCTAACTGGGGACTTGTTACAGGTTCAGGTCTTACACTTCCTCTCGGGGCAAGTAATCAACCAACACTTTATGTAAGATGGAAATTTGACAGAACAGGAACAGCTTCAAACATTAAAATTGATGACGTTACTATTACCGGCGGCAGCACTCTTCCTCCTGCTGTTATTTCTTTTGCAACAAACGATACAACTGTTGTTGAAACTGCAGGTTTGGCAAACGTAATTGTGAGATTAACTACTACAAGTACATTTTCTTCTGCAATCACTGTAAGTGCTTCTCCTTTGTCAAACGCGTCAAATGCAGACTACAGCTTAACGGTTGGAACTGCAACTTTTGCTGCAAATGCTGCTGTGGGCTCTACAGCTGCTATTACGCTTAGCCTAACAAACGACGCTACATTAGAAAGTTCTGAATACATTGTTTTACGTTTAAGTAACGGCGTGAATGCAAATCCAGGTGCTATCAGTCAATTCGCTTTTTATATTGGTGATGATGACAAAACTGCTCCACTGGCTTCAAATAGTTTATCTCTTAATTTACTGACTAGTTTTTCAAACGGAGC